CCTCTCACCTGGGTGACTTAAGGGGAATTCTTTCAATTTTTCGGACACCCCCAACCTCCTGTAATTGTGTGTGAGATGTAATCAGAGAGATTCAGAGTGTTTTTTTATGAAATGGTTTCAGACGTCTTTACAGTGGTGGTGATAGGAACCAGGGGTCGCCATGACTACAACACAAATATAGACATTTTATTTACTATCCAGAACCACCAGTGAACCTACACGAGTCTTCTGAGTTTGTATGGAATGATGTTGTTGGTAAAATAGCAGTAAATATGAACAAATATGATTTTTAAACTCTTCAGACGTCTGGTTCCATTCACCACCACTGTGAACAATTCTGACTCGATAAGTTTCTCTAGAGTGGAGCTTTAAACATGTAACCACTCTGAATTAAGAAGTTTTACGTCTTAACTGTTTAATTATGCAGAAATCTAGAAAGAAATGTGGGATTCACTCGCAGAAATAACTCAAAGTCAAAGAAGCCAGTGTTGCTAACAGTGAATGAAAATGAACGGCCAGCAGTAATCATTATGCAAAGACATTGTGATAATTGATGCCTGCTACCTTCCATCCATTGTTTAGTCAACCTATTGCTTTAATCTAAAAAATATATGTAGTCCATCTGTTTCTCTGCATACTTCGTTAGCCCCCTTTTACCCTGTTCTTCAGTTGTCAGGACCCCCATGGACCCCCACAGAACAGGTACTATTTGGGTGGTGGATCATTCTCAGCACTGCAGTAACACTGACGTGGTGGTCGTGTGTTAGTGTGTGTTGTGCTGGTCTGAGTGGATCAGTCACAGCAGTGCTGCTGGAGTTTTTAAACACCTCAGTGTCACTGCTGGACTGAGAATAGTCCACCAACCAAAAATATCCAGCCAAACAGCGTCCTGTGGGCAGCGTCCTGTGACCACTGATGAAGGACTAGAGGATGACCAACACAAACTGTGCAGCAGCAGATGAGCTATCGTCTCTGACTTTACATCTACAAGGTGGACTGACAAGGTAGGAGTGTCTAATAGAGTGGACAGTGAGTGGACACAGTGTTTAAAAACTCCAGCAGCAGTGCTGTGTCTGATCCACTCATACCAGCACAACACACACTAACACACCACCACCACGTCAGTGTTACTGCAGTGCTGAGAATGATCCACCACCCAAATAATACCTGCTCTGCGAGGGTCCATGGGGGTTCTGACCACTGAAGAACAGGGTAAAAGGGGGCTAACAAAGTATCAGAGAAACAGATGGACTACAGTCTGTAACTGTAGAACTACAAAGTGCACCTATATAGTAAGTGGAGCTGATAAAATGGACAATGAAAGTAGAAACAAGGAGGTGAAGTGTTTTACATAAAATCTCTCTCTCTCTCTCTCTCTCTCTCTCTCTCTCTCTCTCTCTCTCTCTCTCTCAGTGCGTGGTCCTCCGTTGGAGCCCTCCATGTATCTTTCTCTTCCTGCTAAGCAGCCTGACAAAATGGGCTTTGATGAGGTGAAAACTTCAGCTTCTGTCACATTAAAGGAACTGTTCACACACAGTTATGATGCAGTAAATATGGCAGTTTATGTTGGTTCTAATAGGGCTGAATGTTTAGCTTCATTTCCTTGATGTGCAGATATTCATGATAAACCTGGTGAGACGGCAAGACCGTAGAGAGAGGATGCTGAGGACTCTGTGGGAGCAAGACATCACCTGCAAGATCGTAAACGCAGTGGACGGCAAGTATGTCCAACACACACCTGCTACATTTAGTTTCTCACCACTGTGCTGTTGACACAGACTGTATGAGATTCTGTGTAGGATGTTTCACAGCCTCTTGTGACGTTTCTCTGCTCGCTCTCTCACTCACTCACTCACTCACTCACTCCCTCTGTCAAATTCAAATTTACACTCATGCAAATATCTTTAAAGATAAACTGTAGAACAGACTCAGTTTATATCCCAATACCTACATTTAGAGTCGGTTATTCATTCAGCCTAATGACAAACTGTAGAACAGACTCAGTTTATATCACAATACCTACATTTAGAGTCGGTTATTCATTCAGCCTAATGAGAAACTGTAGAACAGACTCAGTTTTATCCCATACCTACATTTAGTCGTTATTCATCCCACTGTAGACCTCAGTTTATATCCCACACCTACATTTAGAGTCAGTTATTCATTCAACCTAATGAGAAACTGTAGAACAAACTCAGTCTATATCACAATACCTACATTTAGAGTCGGTTATTCATTCAGCCTAATGAGAAACTGCAGAACAGACTACTAACAGTGATATTAATACTGAAGAAAGGATAATGTTTCTTCCTCAGGGCATTGAACGCGAGTCAGATCCGTGCTCTGGGTATAGACATGTTGCCAGGATACAGTGACCCGTACCACGGCCGGCCGCTCACTAAAGGAGAGCTGGGCTGCTTCCTGTCCCACTATAACATCTGGAACGAGGTGTGTGTAATAATAAGCCATTTGCATTTGTGGCATTAGAAAAAAAAAATTGTGGATTATTGTTTAGCTATTAAAGACGTGCTTGTGCTGTAGATCTGCAGATAACTTGACAAAAGTGGCTGATGTGTCTCACTAAGCCAAATGGACAGATCTAAGCTGGGCTGTATATGGAGATACAGTCCTGTGCAAAAGTTTTGGCACCTCAGTCAAATTAGATTCTGTTAAATTGTTGAAGAATTATGTTGTCTTGTTCGTCTCTACAAAGAGATGAAACACTTAATTATGGCATTTTTCTTCATATTTTAGTGCACAATTTGTATTTATCTGCTGAATTTAACATATTGCTAAAAATAGAAGATAAAATCTGAACTTTTTTTAAACAGTCCACATTTTTTAAAAAATAGTAGGTGTATTTCTTCATTGTAACTTGGAAAATCAAAACATAATCTGACCAGAAGTGCACAAACTTTAATCTAGCAAATCTATACCTGCCCATATAGATAATCATCTTGTACATCTTCTACCATATCTTGTATAATCTAGAATATACATATGTACAGATAAGTGTTCAGTACCTATTTTGCTGTTACAGTTTTGGCATATTTGAATAAACAGTGGCCTGTTCAGGTCGTGGCAAAACATTAAGTAAAAATGAAATAAAAACACAGCTGGCCCACAGATTTGCTGAGATTTTTATATATGGCCATATTAGTGGCTGAGTTTGACACCCCTAGTCTGTGTGTATATGTTTTTTTGTGGCATAACAATAAATGTGATTTGATTTTGCATAAGGGCTGTTTTAAACAGACAGATGGTAACTGTGTACAGTGTGAAGTTAAGCGGATGTGAGTTATCGTTCTGATGGTCAACTGATGTTAAATCATGCCTCAGATGCAAAGATAAATGACTAAATGAATGAATTAGCTGCAATAAACAAATATTAAACCTTCAGTGCTTTCATTCTTTATCCATAAGAGTACAGAGTACTCTCTTTTTAGGCTATTGCAGTGCTGTTTGTTTAAGAATGGATGTTCACATAGCAGAAATGGTTGAGATGTGAATCCCTAGTGTAGTTGCCCATGATTAGTCAGTCACAGCTGGGGTTTTGGTGATGGATGATGATCGGTAGTCTGTGTGCTGTAGATTGTAGAGCGAGGTCTGAAGGTCTCTCTGGTGATCGAGGATGATCTGCGCTTTGAGATTTTCTTCAAGAGGCGTCTTCAGAACCTGATGCAGGAAGTGGAAGCGGAGGGACTGGACTGGGACTTGATGTGAGTAAACACACACACACACACACACACACACACACACACACACACACACACACACACCCCTAAGAGCTGACGTAAGTATGACACTGCTGCCCTAAAGCTGGGTTACCTCATACTAACACTTGACCGCTCAGCTGCCTCTGGAGCCTTCAGAGTCCTTAACCTGACCAGAGGCTTCAGTGTGAAACATTCATTTACACTTTTTTAAAATGGCTAAATCTGTGACTGCCTCATCGGTCTGTCATATGTGAAATGATCAGTTGCATTCAAGCACATATTTGTAAACCTGTAATGTTTTTTAAGACCTAAGGGTTCTTTAAGGGTTCTCAAATGAACATTTATCACTCATAACTATAGAACTTTACAGATTGGCTGCATAGTAGATGCTTTATCATTTATAGTTGTTACTAAATAATTCATACCGGTTACTGAGTAATCATGGTTAATGCTGAATAATTCATGGCAGACTCAAATAATTCATAGTAGATACTGAATAATTCAAAAGAGGAACTGAACAATTCATAGTAGATACTGAATCGTTTATAGTAGATACTGAATAATTCATAGTGGTTCCTAAATAATTCATAGTAGATATTGAATTCATAGTGGTTACTGAACAATTCATAGTAGATACTGATCATTTATAGTAGATACTGAATAATTCATCGTGGTTCGTAAATAATTCATAGTAGATATTGAATTCATAGTGGTTACTGAATAATTCATAGTGGTTCCTAAATAATTCATAGCGGTTACTGAGTAATTCATAGTGGTTACTGAGTAATTCATAGTAGATACTGAATAATTGATAGTAGTTACTTAATATTTCATAACACTTAATGAAGAATCATAGTAGATAGTGAATAATTCATAGTGATTAATGTAATATTCCATAGTAAGCTGAAAAATATACAGTCGTTACTGAATAATTAATAGCAGATACTGAATAATAAGCCTCAAAACATTAACTGAAGAGTAAGAAGTGGTTCTTTCTATTGTTTTGCTAAAAAAATTATAAGCAATTTTACAAACATAATATATTTAATTATGTAAAGAATTACCTTTACATTCTGTACTGACAGGTTGTTTTCAACATCAAAAATGTAAAGGATGGTTTCTGTTTCTGCAAAAATTCATATACCTGCAAAACGAGACACAACAGTAACTATAGCCCATTTTTTTCAAAATAACTTTTATGAATATGATTTAAATTCCAAGCAAACTAAAATATCTCCTCTTCTGCGTACAAACACAGATATAGTTTGGACTATAAGTTCAGAATCTGCACTTTCCACACTTTCCTCCTCTCAGTGTTTGAATGTGTTACGAGTCAGAAATAATGAATATAAATTCATATGCTGAGAGTCTGTAACTCGTATGGCTTTTCTCAGTACAAACATCTGATTTTCAACTATAAATACATGTAATTTGTAATCTTCAAACAGCACAGAGAGAAAGTTAAAGAACAGAGGATGATATCTAAACCTACAACAAAAGAACTTGTTTTATCTCCTGTCACATATTGCAGCATGTAATTATGCTTAATTACAAACCAGAGGATAATGAGAGGAGTAGAATCAGGGATGAAATAATGGAACATAAAGAACTTACCCTTTTCTTTTTTTCTTTCTTTTTTGTAATTTGTTTTTTGTTTTCTGACACACGTGGACAGTTATATTGGGAGGAAGAGGATGCAGGTGGACCATCCGGAAAAATCTGTGCCCAACATCCACAACCTGGTGGAGGCTGACTATTCCTATTGGACGCTGGGCTACATGATCTCATTACAAGGCGCTAAGAAGCTGTTGAGGGCGGAGCCTCTGAAGAAGATGCTTCCAGTCGACGAGTTCCTACCAGTGATGTACAACAAGCACCCAGTGTAAGAGTTTCAATATCAAACATTGTTATTTTCAGGATAGTTCACTGGCCACTTTATTAGGAACGCCTACCTTGTGCTTCCACTCACTGGCCACTTTATTAGAAACGCCTACCTTCTGCTTCCACTCACTGGCCACTTTATTAGAAACACCCACCTCGTGCTTCCACTCACTGGCCACGTTATTAGAAACGCCTACCTTCTGCTTCCACTTACTGGCCACTTTATTAGAAACACCTACCTTGTGCTTCCACTCACTGGCCACTTCATTAGAAACACCTACCTTGTGCTTCCACTCACTGGCCACTACATGCTAAAACCTAACCCTCTCTCTGTTTCTCTCTCCAGGGAGGACTACATGTCCCACTTTGAGCCGAGAGATCTTCAGGCGTTCTCGGCCGAGCCCTTGCTGGTCTTCCCCACTCACTACACGGGTGACCCCGGCTACATCAGCGACACAGAGACGTCCACGGTGTGGGATAATGAGACGCTACGGACGGACTGGGACAGGGCACGCTCCCGCAAAACCCTCGAACAGGAGGAGCTCAGCTCCGAGGCCCAGAACACGGACGTCCTGCAGTCAGCGCTGGACAGCACAGCCAGGGATGAGCTCTAAGAGCCAGGGACTAAACTGGGACTGGGGGGTTAGTGAGTAATTTATAAGTGTCAGTTATTCGGTAACTACTCTAAAACGAATGTGTGTGAGAGCGAGGAGCTGAGGCGTGGGACAGTGTGTCGTATGGGGTCCACAGTTCAGTTCCTCGCTCTCATAAGCAGGTAACTTCACACAGTAGGTTCATAGCAGCTGCTTCAATCTTCTTTTGAATTTCAAACTGTGGATTTAACTGGCCGACAGACACACTAATGCTCAGTGTTGATGACCTTTTACAGCCTGGCAAACGAACATTCTCTTATTCCTGAGTTTTAGGAGGTTTTAGGGAGTCTCCCCCTACTGGACAGTGTGTGTTGGGGGCAGTCAAAGAAATACACTATATTCTGTTTTAAGCAATATAAATGAGGTAAGCATGTACACTCTTTAAGATGGTTCTTCAAGGGTTCTTTAGTAAAGAAAATAGTTCTGTATAGAGCCATGAACACTGAAGGAACCATGTGTTTGCCTAAATGGTTCTTTGCATGGTGAAATACTTCTTCAGATTGATGGAGAATGTACTGTAGATGGTTCTATGTAGAACCTTTTTGAAAATGGTTCTATATTGCACCAAAAAGGGTTCTTCTATTGTTACGATGTCAAGCTTGTAACAATAGAAGAACCCTTTTGGGTGCTATATAGAACCCTTTTCAAAAAGATTCTATATAGAACCGTTTATTCATGCAGTTTCCATCAATTCTTGAAGGTTCCTTTCATAATGTGAAGAACCCTTTTATCATGCAAAGGGCTCTTTGAGTGTTCATGGTTCTATATAGACCCATTTTCTTTACTAAAGAGCCCTTGAATAACCTTTTTTAAGAGTGTAGAGACCAAAAGTATTAAATGGGGTGGGCTTATGGTGGGAGTTTACTAGGTAACTGGGTAAGATTTACTGGGAGAGATGGGACCAAAATTAAAGAGGAAGAAATACAGGACAGTGTTTTATTAGTTTGTAAGTAATATAGTGTTGATATTAAAATACATAACTACACTTCTATTGTTGCTGCAGGCATCCAGTGAGAGTTGAAGAGTCGCGATGTTGCAGTAGAACTTTAAAGTCTTCACTCTTTGTACAGCAGATCTGAACTAACTGAACATCCAGCACTAAAAAACTGCAATCTACATGTTTTGAGGCTCTCTGTGGAACCCTTCTGGTTCTCAGCTGTACGGAAGTCCAGAGAGGCCATGAGGTAGTTACAGTTTTCTGAATTATGTTTGGGTAGCGAGTTAATTATCTCGAGATAACAAAAGTTGTGATCTTAAAATAACAAGATGACAACTTTTATCTTAGATAACAAGTTAATTATCTTGGGATCTCAAGATGTTATGTTGAGAGAACAAGTCAACTATCTTGATCTCGATAACAAATTTGTTTACAAAGTTAATATCTCGAGATAATGAGTTAAGTATCTTATCTCAAGATAACAAAGGTTGTGGTCTCAAGATAACAACTTGACCTTGAAATAAGTATCTCATATTATCACATTAATGGATGTTATCTCCATTAAGTTGTTATCTTGAGAATGAGTAAACTATCTTGTGATCTGAAGATAACCAATTTTTCTTGAGATAATAAGTTAATTATCTTGGGATCTCAAGAAAAAGTTATGTTAAGATAACAAGTTAATTATCTTGATCTCAAGATAAAAGTTGTCTTGAGATAACGAGTAAATTTTCTTGTGATTTTGAAGATTAGGTTGTTGCCCTGAGATAACGAGTTAATTATCTTGTTATCTCAAGATAACAAAGTTGTTGCCTTGAGATCACAAGATAATTAATTTGTTATTTCAAGATAACATTCCAGGAAATTATAGCAACAGCTCCGTATGGTTGCCTTTCAGAAAGGATCCTGTTTTGCTAAGTGAGATGTGCGAGTGTGAAGAACCTTTTTAAAATTTGAAGAACCACGTAATGTCTAGTAGGTTTTTCCTACAAGCACAAGAACCATTTGGGAAAAGCATGAGCTGCTTTTATGTATTCATTCGCGAACACATTTGTGCTGCTTGAAACACAAAAAAAAACAAACAGTTGCAGTTTGATCAGCGTTACTATACAGAACTGATTCAGACACGTATCAGATCTTTATATATGGTGTTAAGATGGAATATTTCTCGGGGCACAAGATGATTTTTGCCTTGTGATCATAGTTACTGCGAGTGAGATCGAGGGTTGGCCTGAAATACTTGACTGACAGCTCAGGCATGCTTATAAATTATAATGGTTACTTTTCATCTTGGGAGAAAGAAAATGTTTTGTTCTTCAGAACTTGGTCTTCCAGTGCTACCGTAACATGGTTTTTAATGTATATACTGAATTGCCAAATGTACTGAAACACCTAAATATTAAAAAAAGCAAAAGATGTGCAGCATGAATCAACTTCAGGAAGAACCTTTAACTCATGTTATCATTTCAGTGTGCCTTGAACGAAGCCTTGGCATCGGAGAGGAGGTCGTTTGGACATTTGTGACCCTGTACTTTCACTCGTTTGACTATAAAACACAAAGTCCGCGTGTGAAACGTTCTTTGGAGATGTTTTCTGCTAAGCTAAGATGTTTTCGTAGTTTTTTGTGACCCAGATCAGCTGACGGTGGCGTCTTCTGCCCTCTGATTGTGTAAAATATCCCTGCTTGCAGATTGACTAATTTATTGCTCGTTCCGCTAAACCAGATTAATCACCATCGCTGTAAATATGGAATCGATAGTAACAGTGTTGACTGATTGCCAAGTAGAGCCAGAAGTGCTCCACCTGCTGGCCAGTGTGCACAAGTGAAAGGCCACAGAGGGAGACTACTTCTTTTTCTTTCTTTTTAAATCATGTTCTCATCTTCTTTTTATCTTATGTTAAGATTGTATTGGAGGGTAGAGCAATAAAATGTTCAATGTTTGATGTTTTTCACCGAATTTTAAGAATTGTTTTTCTTCGTTTTGGGCTAAATTGTAAATCCTGAAAAATGAGAGCAGTAACTGAATAGATTGCCGATTAAAACAGATCCTCCCTTTATTTTCACACCTGTCACTTTCATTTTGTCACTTTCGTCATTGAATATTTATCAAGACGTGCCTTTATACCAAACAATAAAGCAAAAAGTGTTTCTTAAATATGGTTTTTGATCTTTTTTTCCCTATCAAGTAAACCCTGTTCTGAATATTTGCCGCTATAAATAACTTATCTGCCATTTAGCCATAATAGTTTATACTGATACAGCTGTGGCTAATGCATTAATGAATGATACAATTTGAATTATTAACCATTTAATTTACATACAAATAATATAAAAACACTGTGCATGCTTGTCATAAATATATTTGTGTAATTAGACAATGTATTGTTATAAATACATTCACAGCTTTGTAACAGGGGTCCAATTAATGATTATTAATGGTTGAAAAGTACTTATTAACCAACTAATAATGATTAACTAAGTATAAAGGAAAGGTTTATCCATCACAGTAGCAAGATAGTAAATACTCAATTATTTAAAACTAGACAGGCAATTCAAACATTATAAAATGATTTTATGTAACTAAATGCTTAATACTAAGATACATAATCTGAGTTATGAGTATAAAACAACATTTTTAACAAACTATAATGATTAGATTTCTACAATTCAAAATGATTGACACTAATGGTTAATAATTCCAATGTTACCATTTATTAATGCATATGGAACTATTATAAAACTATTAACAATCCATTAGGTATTGATTAGGTTGCTGTTTGTTAGGACCTGACGTTGTAAAGTGTTACAGAATCTTTTTTTAGCCTATCAAGGCTGTCAGACCAAAACCTTGTATCTCCAAAATGGTAACTTTACAGGAGAAGGAAAAAACCTGCTTTACTTTTAATGTAAGTCAATGGAACCAGACTTTTTTCCTAGTAATTTTGAGCTGTTTTGGTCTATTCGTTATGAAATTTACACATAACGTAAAGGACAGTTGGTATTTTCAAATTATGTCAAAAACTGAAAAACGATAAAAATGGACATTTCGGTCCGACAGCAGTGATATTCTAAAATAAGGTAGAAAGAAGCCTTATTGGTTTACGCAGCAAGGCAGATGGGAAACAGCACTGATTTTTAAAATGTAAAACCCATAATTAGAGAAGAGACTCGAATGCAGCTTATGATTTCTCCCGTCTTAAACTTTATAGCATGTTATAATTTTACTTGCTACTTCTTTTAGGCACACACTGTAAATCTGCATGCTGTCTGTGTGTGTATTATAGAGTTGGCTGACTACAGACAGAAGTTTATATTTTTACAGCGTGTAATTTTTCTCTTGAAGCTTCTCCAATCCGGAATCTGACACATCCAGCCCAAGATATAAAACATGATATGATCTTAATGTTGCTCAAGCTGTAGCCTCAGGCAGCGCGTGTTCATCCGTCTTGCCTCGTGTGTGATACGCTTTCCTCACTTCGTGTCGTGTCTCTCATTACCAGTAACTGGGGTGATAATTAGTGAGCTAAAGTTAAACAGGCCACAACACACAGGCACCATGTTTTAGCCCTGTGTGAGTGGATGAGGGCCAGGAAGTCTGTTCATGCAGATATGAATGTGCAGAGACCACTAATAAGCATATGTGCTCTATGTTAGTTAGTCAAGTCAAGTCAAGTCCTTGAGAGGAACCAAGACAAAGTTTATTTATGTAGCGCTTTTTACGACAGGTGTTGTCACAAAGCAGATTTACAGAAAAATCCAGGTCCGAGCCCCCATGAGCGTCGCCAATGGCGACAGTGGCAAGATAAACTCCCTAAGAGCAAGAGGAAACCTTGAGAGGAACCAAGACTCAAAAGGGGAACCCATCCTCCTCTGGTCGACACCAGATAGCAAACAGCATTAGTTTAAAATACAGAATACAAAACGGGGAAAACAGGTGGACCATTAATTAACAATTAATTAACAATGGTTAATTAGATAGTTTGAGTTTATGCAGCAGCAGCAAGAGGGTCAGTTCATGAAGGTGAGGTTTGCACAGCTTTGTATAGCATGAAGCTCCATGGTAGTCAAACAGGCCCAGAAGGCTGGCGAGCAGTGGGCACTCAATTAAGGCAGAAGAAGCAACAGCATCAGACGCACAGGATGGGCAGCTGTTTAACTCAGCGAAGAAAGGAAAAACACACAGAGAGTCGGTTCTTAGGGAGTCAGTTAGGGATAGAAGGACAATGTGTTATGTACTATGTGGCTAAGAGTCTGAAAATCTGACCTTCACACCTGTATGAGCTTGGTGGACATCCCTTTCCAAAACCACTGGCGCTAATAAGGAGCCCCCTCCCCTGGCATTTCGGCCTCCACAAGATTTTGGAGTGTATCTATGTGAATTTGTGCCCATTCAATCAAAAGAGCATTTGTGAGGTCAGACACTGATGTTGGATGAGAGGGTCTGGCTCACAATCTACATTCCAGTTTATCCTAAAGGTGTTCAGTGGGGTTGAGGTCAGGGCTCTGTGCAGGCCACTGGAGTTCCTCCACACCGAACTGGTCACTCCATGTCTTTATAGAGCTGCTTTGTGCACAGGGGCTCAGTCATGCTGGAACAGGAAAGGCTCTTCCCCAAACTGTTCCCACAAAGCTGGAAGCAGATAACTGTGTAAAATGCTGCAGCATCAACATCACCCTTCACTGGAACTAAGGGGGCTGAAAAACAGCCCCAGCCCATCATCCCTCCTCCACCAAACTTTACTGTTGGCTCTGCATTCCGGTAGATAATGTTCTCCTGACATCCACCAAACCCAGATTCATCATCAGACTGACAGATAGTGAAGCTGATTCATCACTCCAGAGAACACGTTTCACTGTTCCAGAGTCCAGTGGTGGTGCTTTACACCACTCCAGCCGACGTTTGGCATTGAGCATAGTGATCTTAGGCTTGTGTGCAGCTGCTCAGCCATGAAAACCCATTTCATGAAGCTCCTGAAGCACAGTTCTTGTGCTGATGTGGCTTCCAGAGGCTGGAACTCTGTAGTAAGTGATAAAACAGATGGTAGGGAACAGAAGGTTAGCACTCAGCAGCCCCACTCTGTGAGTTTGCGTGGTCTACTGCTTCGTGGCTGAGCTACTGTTGGTCCTAGACAAATCAGTTTCACAATAATAGCACTTACAGTTGAGTGGGGCAGATTTAGCAGGACAGAAATTTCACAAACCGACTTGTGGTGGCATCATAACAGTCATGGTCAAGGTCACTGAGCTTTTCAGTGCGACCTGTTCTACTGCTACTGTTTGTATATGGAGATTGCATGGCTTTGTGCTTGTGAGGCGGAAACTGAACTCAATATGTAGAAGGGTGTCCACATACTTCTGGCCATATTATGTAGCATTAGTAGTAAGTGTAGGAAAGTGTAGAAAATAATATTAAATTATATATGTTTGTGACAATAGCCCTACACTTGGGCAGGCTAGCAAGTGTCAGCTGGCCCCTCCCACATCAGGACACAACACTGGGTTTACTTCATTTTTGCCAGTTAGCCATTACTTATCATTGGCTTTCAAGTCATATATCAACATATTGTTGCTGTGATGCAAAAACTTTGTACTTACATTTTTGCCATTTTGTAACTTTTTTGCATAATTTGAAAACCACACTGTGTTAAAATTTCATGATGAACAGACCAACAGAAACAGTCCAGAATTACTTAAAAGATCTGGTTCCATTAACACCCATTAGAAGTTAAGAATGTTTTTCCTTCTCGTGTACTGTTACCTTTTTGGAGGTTTTGTTCTGACAGCTACAATAGGTTGGTTTATCTATCTGTATATTTTGGACACTGGCACGTTCATCGAGCCGTCAATGTGTGCCTGTGCGTTTAACAGTGGTGGACAGTAAATAAGTAAATGTAATTCGTTACTGTACTTAAGTAGTTTTTTGTGTATCTGTACTTTACTGAAGTTTTTCCATTTTGGGTGACTTTTTACTTCTTACTCCACTACATTATGAGAAATCTGTCATTCCTTTTGGCTTTTGTGTGCATAAAAATGTAACATGTCAAAATGAAAGAAGCGCAAAGCAAAAACACCAATCAGGGCACAGCGCTCACTTAGTTTTGAGCTTGTTTTGACCTGTTGGTCATACCGACCCAGTGCAAGCATATCCACACTATACTTAGGTCACTTTAGCAGGTAAAGCAGGATGGGGTTAATGCAAACACTGACTGACGATTACACATCAAAGAATTAGTGAACAGATATAACATATTGCTCTCGACTTTGTGGGTAAATAGACCACAATATAGAAATATGTACACATATGCAGTTGTGACTGACGTGTCTTTTTTCTGAATTTATACAAACACTATTTCATTTTATAGTGAATTTGTTTTTGCTAGTTTATGTTTATGAACAGAGACCTACAGATGCAGTTTAGTAAAGGAAACTCATTTGTGAACCTGAGTTCAAAGATTTTATTAAACTTAAACTTGTAAATAAGTTGCAAATAAATCCTAAACCGAAACTTTGCTTCTTATTTCAGAGCCACTCAGTTCTACCTAATGGAAACTGTTTGCCTTCAGTGTTTTGTCCTTATGATAATTTTAAGAGACTAATTAATGACATTCTATTAAAAGTATTTTCTCCTAAAATGAGTTAATAAAGCAAGAGATAAAGCTTGTTATAAAAATGATAATAGGACATTAGAGCCATAATTAATACTTTAGTTCTTTCACTTTTGATACTTAAGTACATTTGAGGGAAAATACTTTTGTGCTTTTATTCCAGTGGAGGTCTAAAGGGAGGAACTTCTACTTTTACTGCAGTAATATTTTACCTTGGGCATCTCTACTTTAACTCAAGTACATGGTTTGTGTGCTTCGCCCACCGCTGGCGTTTAAGGCCTGACTAGTCGTGTTTTCACCTTTTATTAATCCTCCTCATCTCTCCTTGCCCCCCTCCCTTCTAGCTCACTCACTCACTCTCACTATCCCTATATTGGATTAAGGCCCAGGGGTATTTTTGGCCAAGGCAGCTTACAGGATCTTTGACAACCCTCCCCGCAATCCTTTAACAAAGCAAATTCTGAAAGCTACTCTCTTGCTGTGAGAGAGAGGGAGTGCGATCCCAACAGAGACACAAACAACAAGATGGATTTTCACTGCGCTTCATTTTTAATCTGAAATATGTTCAAAAATGACTGTTTTTATCATCCACACTCAATTTATGCTTCTAATGGAGGAATAAAGGGGTCAATCTGCACCATTTTCCCCACCTTAAATGAATCAAATGTAGTCAATCAGCTAAGACATGTTTGGTGTCTGAAGTTGCTCCTTAGTTTAGTACTGGAGCTATGAGGCTAATGTGGCTAACAGGTGTAAGAAACTCCACAAAACCACATAATCAAGTCTGTCAGAGATACTGAACAGCTCCACACACTTTGAGGTGAGTGTGAGATGATTTAGTCATGCAATTAGCACGATGCTAATCTGTAGGGCATTAGCTTTCATTACTTATTAGCTAGGCTGCATTAGCCTGATTGCTCCTGGAAGTGATCATTCCTCACTCTTAAAAATAAAGGTACGCTCCTAAAAAAGATGGTTCTTCAAGGGTTCTTTAGTAAAGAGGGTTCTGTATAGAACCACAAACACTCAAAGAACCCTTTGCATGATTGCATTGTGAAAAGGTTCTTCAGAATGTGCTGTAGATGCTTCTATATAGCACCAAGAATGGTTCTTCTATTGCTATGATGTCTTGGTGCTTTATAGAACTCTCTTCAAAAGGGTTCTATATGAACCATCTACAACACATTCTCCATCATAGAACACTTTCACGATGTAAAGAACTCTTTAATCAAGCAAAGGGTTATACGAGCGTTCGTGGTTCTATATAGAACCATTTTCTTTACTAAAGAACCAATGAAGAGCCATCTTTTTTAATGTGTGTACCAAAAGGGGTTTTAGAAGAACCATTTTTGTTCCTTCTTGCACCGTGTTGTTCCTGGAGGAACGTAATTTCACTCCACTGTGTACTTGTGCATAGATGGAATGACAATAAAAGCCTCTTGACTTGACTTGACTCTTGTAAGTCATAGGAAATGTCTTGGAAAATGAGGGTCTTCCTAGAACTTTTACATTGTTGAAACAAAGTTTCTCACACATAAAAATGCCTCTCTGAAGAACCATCCAATAAAAGGTAGAACCTACAATTGTTCTACTATGTTACTACACTAGCAATCCTTTTTGGCGCCTTAATTAATAAGAGCGCTGAGATAAAATGCTCTGTTTTTCTAGTCAGATTTTCCTGTCTGTCACTGGGCCAGACACTTCAGGAAATAGGATTAGCTGGACAGTTTAGTGGTCAGAGAACAGTGTCCGAGAGTGCAGAGGTGGCGGTTCTTTCACTGTCCTTACACACACACACATGCTGGTGCTGGATAACACTCAACTCTGTCTGCTGCCCGGATTTACCCTCTTAATCTCCAACGGCACAGGCGTTTGGAGGGGCGGACGCCAGAGCGCCTTCAGCATCAGAGCTCGTAAGCAGCCAGGCAAGGAAACGCCAGCCCTTTCCTGCAGCTGTGACGACGGGTTCTCCCAAGCTTCACAAGTACATCAGAGCTTCAGCCCAAAAGGTGAACCCAAAAACTTCCTCGGAATTTCAGCGCGAAAAGTGAGAGGGTGAGAGCTGCACCCATAATCCATTCTGTGGACTATTTCAGCCGTGCTTATCGGGGCTGCGGCTAAGTGCTTTTTGTGAATAAGATTACTGTCGGAGCTTGTTTTGCTGAGAGAAACTGTAAACATGACAGGGCCTTATTTACCTGGGATGTGTACAGAATGTGCTGCAGTATGTAGCTTTATTGCTCTATTACAGGGGTGTCCAGCCTTACCCACAAAGGGCTGGTGTGGCCAGGTTTTTTTACTCCAAACAAGCTGGAGCTCACCTGATTCCACTTGTTTCATCAGTTGGTCTTCAAACATTTTATCAGGTGACCTCCTGCTTTGTTGGAGTGAAAACCTGCAGCCACACCGGCCTCAGCACATAAGACTGGACACCCCTGCTCTATTATGTGCAAGCCACAGGCACTTTATTGCTTTAACCCCTTACACTTTAAAGGCCTATAATTCTGTCGTACTCTCATAACTACATAATTTACCCATTCGTTTTATAGTAGTTACTGAATAATTCATTGTAGATACTGAAAAATTCATAGTGATAATGAATAATTCATAGTAAATACTGAATAATCCATAGTTATAATTAATAATTGATAGTACTGTTTGTAGTACTGAGTAATTCAGTGATAATAAATAATAGTAGTTATTCAATATTAATTATAGACACCGCAGAATTCATAGTAGATACTGAATAACTCCGAGTAGATACTGAATTATTTATCATAGTTACTGAATAATTTCTTAGTAGTTGCTGAATAACTCATAGTAGATACTAAATAATTCATCACAGATAGTAATAATTCATAGTAGATACTGAATAATTCATTGTAGATACTCAATAATTAATAGTAGATACTAAATAATTCATGGTAGATACTAAATAATTCAGAGTAGATACTGAATGATTTATTACAGTTACTAATATGAATAATTCATAGTTGTTACTGAATATTTTTTTACTATATGTTTTACAGTAGTTACTGAATAATTTATAGAAGAAACTGAATAATTCATAGTAAAATAATTCATAGCAGAAACTGATTCACAGATAGGTGCTAAGTGCTCATGGGTCTTAGAATTAACTCACACCAGCAGTTGATAATTGACATGCACCATTAAAGAACAATACAGAAAAGTTATCTGTGCAAACAAACTAAAATTTGTGCAAACATATATGTAGGAATTTGATTGCATGTGGCATGTGGGCTGGATTTGGGAAAAAAGCTGAAAACACATATGTTCAGTGCCTAGACACTTATCAGTGGATTGTCTGGGAACTTTACCTTTTGCCTTCCTGCTGGTACTCTGGTTGAAAAAATGACAAAAAGATCCTGTCACACATCATATTTACAGACTTTGGGGTTCTTATGTCTCCTGTTGTCTTAGCAGAACTTGCCATGGTAGACCTCTTCTTGGGCAAAGTCCTGGTGAAGAACAACAAGGACAAGGATGAGCTGGACACGGAGCGCGAGATCATCCTGCGCCTCCAGAACCGGATCCTCATGCTGTTCTTCGGCTCGGGCGACTGTGAGAGATGTCAGGACTTTGCCCCCACACTCAAAGCCTTCTTCAAAAAACTGACAGATGAGTTTTACGTGGAGCGCTCGGCACAGCTGGTGCTGCTCTACATCTCTCTGGACACCTCAGAGGACCAGCAGGAGAAGTTCCTGAAGGAGCTGCCCAAACGCTGCTTGTTCCTGCCCTATGAGGACCCCTACAGGAAGTACGAGAACAATGCTTCACAATGTGTAGTTGATGGTTTCCAATCTTTGGTCATCATACAATGAAATGCAACCAGTGTAGTTGACGATTTCCAATCTTTGGTCATTATACAATGAAATGCAACCAATTATGGTTGGTTAAAATCGGGAATTACCTTCTTATTGGTTACTGGCTGGTACCTCCATATGTTCAAGGAGTTGGAAGGAATAGTTTGGTGAAAAAATCTAATTTGTACAGTTTTTTATCCAAATGTATTTAATTAGCCAAGACATGTTTGGCTTCTAAAGTGTCTGGTTTTGCACGTTTGCCTCAAACCATGTGGAGTTTTTTTGTTATCTCTAATAGACTTGTAATAGAATTGTATGACACACTGTTACCTATAAAGATGGACAAAAGTTATCCAAAATACAGGCTTCAAGGTGGCTGTTCGACTTGGCTGATCAACTACATTTGGGGCTTGGGAGAAAATTAAGAAACTATTTCTTTATTATATAATACATTATTATATAATAAATATTTCATGACCCATACTCAACTCCACATATTGAATTAAACACAGGGGAGCTCAGCCCTGATCCTGGAGATCTGATCTGCAGGGTTTAGTTCCACCTTATCACAGTAGTTACTTATAAAGCCAAACTATTGCTGAGTTCTCAGCAACGTCCTTAACAACTTTAATAGCATGTCCTTGGCACCATGCTCACATTCAGACACTCATGTTTTGGAGAAGAAAATTATAACATACTTTAAAGTTTACTGCTATAAAAAGGAGACGTATCTATTGCAAAAGTCATTGTGCTTTATTAACAAGCTGTTGTTGGCCACAGCCACACTGTACACAAGCAGAATTTTCTCACTCTAGCTTCGCTACATCTTATCCCTTAGGCATCAGCGCTACACTGATCCAGAGATATAAATGAAGAGACCAGTCACTGGTTACGATATGAATGCGAAAGCTTGTAAGATTCAGCAAGGCATCTGTTTGTTGAGAAAGTCCCGCCCTTTGATAAAAAGTGGAGAAGGGTCAACAATCTTACGGCGCTAGCGGGAAAAGCCCCCTTCGTTGTGGAGATCTGCACAAGTCCAGTAGCCAGAACAAGTCTGAAAACTCCATTTGTTGTGCATTATTAAGCCAAACATGACAAAATATTTATGAGGTTTTTCTCAGATTTTACCAGTGATGTCAAATGTGCTTTTGAAACTGTAATCTGATCTTCAGCTTAGAGTATTTTGGTCTCTCCCCTGTCAAAGAGATAGGAATCCACTCTTGTATGACTGAGAATAACTTTCAAAGAAGGTCGCCGAGTCAACAGACTTTCTTACTCTGTTAGAAATAAAGGTTCTGTGCAGGTACATTTTTCATTCATCAAGGTACAAACAATGTAAATGTTCCTTCAAAGGTACAACAGTGGTTTTAAGGTCTGATTGTGAACCTTAAATAAGCTTTTCCAGGTAAAAAGTACGTATTTGTAGCTTTTCATAACCGAATGTTTTAAAACAGAACGGTAAAATAAAAGCCTGGAGGCGAGACGGGGTGTGTGGAGTCAGTACAGCTTAGAAAATATAATTTCAGTGGATTGTGGTACAGTTATGTTCCCTGACTAAAGGTACCACCCCAGTGACAAGAGGGGCACTGCATCAGTGACAGTTTAGTACCTTTATTTCTCAGAGTGTATAAGAACTTTGACTGATCTCGGTTCTTTTTGAACTACAAGAAAACACAGCCAGTGGGCTAGTCTCGCCTTTACAACAAGAGTCCCTTTAGAATAACCCAGCAAATAAATGCTGCAGAACTAATAACCTGGCATTAACAAGCACATGTTTCTTGAACACTCTACAATACTTACTCGCTAATATGACCAAAAGTGTCAGGTTTGACTGAATTGTTGGCCTTCATATTTCCCTGGTTGTCTTTCAATGAAATATAACAGATACCTGAATATTGATTTCCGTACTCGAATACTGGCATCTTTAACGGTTAACCAGGTACTCATATTCCTAGATTTAACCCCAGTTTTGCTCTCTGATTATCTGTGGTTTTACAGGCATGTAGGCCTGTCTATTATGCCTGTTATGGTGTAAACATCACTGTAATGTTGGGGTATATTTCAGTGAGAGTTTATGCCTAGTACCTTTGCAGACTGTAGTCTTTTTCAGTTCATGTGTGGTTTCTCTGTCACAGGGAGCTGGGGGTGATGTTTGAGGTGGAGGACCTGCCCACGGTTGTGGTCCTGCGGCCCGACTGCTCGGTCCTGTCTCCGAACGCCGTGAAGGAAATCTCCACGCTCGGGCCGGACTGCTTCCGCAACTGGCAGGAAGGGGCTGAGCTCATCGACAGAAACTTCATGATGAACGAGGAGTTCGACGAGAGCAAAATGCGCAGCATGACGGACCCCATCCGCCGGCTCAAATACAAGGTGGAAGACAAGAAGAAAAAGAAGAAGAAGGACGACGATGGAGATGACGATGAGAACGATGGAGGTGGAGGGCCTTGGGGTTGAGACTGATGTGGCGACACTGCGCTCAGAAACTCAAATCTTGTTAATCAGCCACAGCTCAGTTTGGGATTGGCTGCCTGTCTTCGATTAGACCAGTTGATTGGTTAATTGATCTGCCAGAAATGCTTCTGTTCAACATTAGCATTAGCAGTCAGACATTAAGGGTTTACAATAAAATACAGCTAATACGAGGCTATAGGGAAATATAGCACTATGCTGGAGCAGAATATAAGAATAGGCCGACTGGACAAAGACTTATGAAAAGTGGTCAGAAACAGATTCCAGTGGCTGGCCTTTCCTGCAGATGTTTACGTGTAATATTACACACATTAGATCATACACACAAAACTTTAGAGTACATTGGCCTACACAACAACAAATGGTTGATAATTATTGCCACTGCATGAACCGATAGATTATGTATTTCGCTCTTTTCTTTTTTAAAAATCAGCAAATATAATTCTGAGTTTCTGCTGTTTTCTGTTCAGTGGGTTCCCCGAAATGTACAAGTTAACTTGATCAAATTTTCTAAGCACAGACCAATGTAGGATCATTTTTCTCAGTCAACTATTCACCCCTTAAGGCTGACTTCTCAGAGCTGTTGTTGCATTTATTTAATGTACAAACAATGTGATATAACAAAGCCAAAAATGTGTGGATGTGTGTCACAAACTGGACAAGAGAACTCATGAAAAGCAACATGTCACGCAACAGACATGTTTTATTGTTACTCTGATCAGACGAAATAAAAATAAACTCTTATCCGATCCGAACTACACTCTGAATGAGCTTGTGCACTCACTCTGCAAAATAATAGTACTAACTAATGATGAAAGGAGCCTCATGCATATTTTATACAGTGATAGGAAAAACAGTAGCACACAGAAAGCTCAGATTCTACACACTGGCTATGTTTAGATGCTAATCTGATTGAATTCATTCTGATTCTAGATTAAGACTGTGATATTTATATGCAGATCTACTCAACAATCTGATGAAAATCTTTATTTACATGCACAGTACAAGTAATCAGATATAAGATTACATGTGTACATAGAGAACTACTTAATGTGGATATTACAGAGCATCACATGAGTCCAGTCAGAGTGAGATGAGCAGAAATGTGTTAGCTGAGGTTTCAGTTGGCGCACTTCAGTTTTTAATTGCTTTAAAATTACGGTAGATTCAGGAAAATGTTCTTCACAAGTCCTTATTCAAGAAGCTCCGAGAGGAGGACGTCACATCCTGCAACGTTCTGAGACCATCCGTCCATCCTAGAACTATTTTAAGTCTTCTAAAGTTTGAAGCATGAACTTCATCTCCTCTGCAGACCAGTTACTACTCCTACCATGTTAAATGTTATAAAGTTTCACTATGAAGCGATGCACATGCAGAACGTACTTAAACTTTCCGATAGGGAATGTAATCAGATACAGGCGTTTACATGGCTATTATTCTTTTATTTAACAGATTATTTACCCACCTCATTCAGTCAGATAGAGATTATATTCTGAATGTCCTCAATCAGACTAGACTATTCTGGTTGAGGCATTTACATGGACACATTCTACTACAATTGAGCTATTAGTCAGATTATTAACAAACTGTAACAAGATTATTAGCAGATTATCAGGCTGCATGTAAATATCGCTATTTTGACATACACATGCCATAATTTCTCTGCTGGCAGATTTAAACTGAGTTGAAGGGCCCAAATTCTTAGAATGGATCATCTGCAAGACACTTGAATTGATGGGGTTAAGGGCTGATATTTAACCCCTCAAAATTCCAGGCTTTTTACATACACTCTTTAAAAAGATGGATCTTCAAGGGTTCTTTAGTAAAGAAAATGGTTCTATACAGAACCATGAGCACTCAAAGAACCCTTTGTATGATTAAAGGGTTCTTTGCATTATGGAAGTGTTCTTGAGACTGTTGGAGAATGTGCTGTAGATGGTTCTATATAAAACCTTTTTGAAAAGGGTTCTATATAGCACCCAAAAGAGTTCTTCTATTGTTACAAGCTTGAGACCGTAGCAATAGAAGAACTATTTGGGTGCTATATAGAACCATTTGAAACCTCTACATCACATTCTCCATCAGTCTGAAGAAAACTTCCATAATGCAAAGAACCCTTTAATCATGCAAAGCGTTCTTTGAGTGTTCATGGTTCTATATAGAACCGTTTTCTTTACTAAAGAACCCTTGAAGCACCATCTTTAAAAGAGTATACTATGTCTTGTTATTCAGTAACTACAGGGACCTCAATGCAAACTGGCTGAGTTATTGTTAGGTTATAGAAGAGTGTAATAAAACGCTGGGCCTGCCAGTGAACTCTGACCATTTAAGGGGTTAATGTGTCAAAAAACGTCAAAAAAAAGTTGACCAACATTTGCTTTACTATACAGTTAAAAGTTTTTTTTAGGTCACACCTTTTGCTTTCTGTGCTGTCTGATTCAACGTATCCAGTTTCAGCTCTGGATTTAGGCCAGTATTTAAACAGATCAGCGAGTTTTAGTTTTAGAGATTTAAGAAGAGCAGGTGGATTACCATCAGCGGTGCAGATTTGGTCTGACAGGTTCGGGGGTCAATGTCAGGATTAGACTGATGGTCACTCGAGAGAACAGTGTGAAAAAAATATACTGACCAATTAAAATGCAACAAAGAAAAAATAAATTAAAATTCTACATTTTGAAATGCCTTATATAGCAATATTAAAGTGCAAGAATATGCATTATACATAATAACAGTCCCTTAGAGCCCCACACACGTTTTTTTTTTTTGTTGTTTTGTTTGTTTTAGTTCATATTGCTTGTATCATTCTTCATTATACTGCCAGAAAAAAAAACAAAAACAAAAAAACTTATAAATCATGACTTTGCTCCCAAAAAAATCAAGAACATTAAAATTTTAAAGAGCACACCACTTCAAAACAATTTTTTGCATTTGGTTTATTCACTATTTATTTATCACATTTCCCCCTGTGCATGCATAGTTAAAAAGTGTTTTGGTGTGTTTATGATAGAAATCATTACATACAAAATGAGCAAGGTCATATTTTTCTGTATAAAATAATATGATTGGTCAGCCCCCAAAGTTGGATATTGTGTTATTTTATATACAACAATAACTTATACAATATGAATTTAAACTATTTGTTCAAAATAGGAAAGGTATCTTTAGATATTGCAGTCAATATTTCAAGAATTGGGAATAAAGTTTTGAATAAAGTGATAAATAATGCACCGTAATTATCTATTTACATTCATTTTTGGTCATGTTATCTGCCCTGAGCTTTGATCTTTTCTTTTTAAATATGATGAATTCTGGAAATTGATTTCATTATTTTCTTAATTCTTAATGTTTACATTTTTGGTGGGGCCTCAGGGCCCAGTTTCCCAAAATCAGGTCTTCTTAACTGGTCATTTCAGTGTGATACTCACGCTACCGTTTAAGAATAGTCTAAGATGCTTTTTGGGGAAAATCCAGCCCAGAGTTTTAGAAAATTCTACAGTGACTGGAGAGGCTGTGGAACATTGAGAATGAATTAATATCCACAAAGCAGATAACTTATTGCAATATAAATAGATAATTACAGACTTTTTATCATTTAGCAACTTGAAATATTAAATAAAACATCTTGAAATACAGATGTCAATCTTATAGCCTTTCAAACTACATTGTATAAGTTATTATTGACTAAAACAACAGCAATCATTAATATGACAAGTGTTTCCAAACTTTTGAACAGTAATGTATCTTTTGATGCTGATTCATAGAGACAGTAACTGTAGAAATTAGTATTAGATTTACCACATTAGTCGCCCAGCGTCACCTAAATATTCTGCTCTAATCGAAGCCTAAACAAATGTGTTCAATTCTGATTGATTATTTTTAAGCAATTATCTTCCCGATATTTATATGATATCATTTTGCAGCCTTAGTTTAGCTTGTAAGAGGAGATGTCAAGAGATGTTTCCACGACCGTCCACAAGGGGGAGCCTGAGATACCTAACACCATCTTAAAGCTTGTGGAATGTATGGATATGAAACTCTAATGAGACACTCTAATGCGAACATATGAAATATGCCAAATTCTAATTGCTCATTAATTCCTAATACCTGCTTAATTAATTGACTGATTGTGATTGAACGCAGCACTGGGCAAAGCATTAATCCTAAGTGCTGTACATGATCTACTGGACATGTTAGGACAGGACAAAGAAGAGGAGGAGGTGCAACAGCAAAAATGAAAGTATGACTTACAGAAAGTTAAGGAAGCGAGGAAAAAGGAACTCAACCTTCTGAAGTCGACCAGTCTGCTTTGTTTTTGAGGTAAGCTGAATTACATCCTGCTATTCTACATCTGAATGTAATAGAGTATGATGGTTTTTGTGTAGTCAGTTTGAGACTGTTATCTGGACTTACAAATCAGGACAAACAAAATGCTCCATTTCACAACTTTACAGGTTCCCTCAAACTGCCCTGCTGGAAAGAAATCATAGAAACCATTAAAAGTGGCTATTTTGGTTAAAAAGTTCAAGTTTAGTTCTGTTACTTAAAGATTAAAACATAATGGTTTTGCTTTTTAATGGGGATTGGTAATATTGGTCTATTGGTTTGCAATAAACCTGACCAGTTTCTTGTAGAACACCTTTAGATCCTATTAGGAAACCATCAAATGCATTTGGAATCACCCACTGGTCACCTGTTAAACCATTAGGATAATTAATACTGCAATATCAACCCATTAAAAAAAAAAGCCAAAACACATTATAAAACCACCAGGAACCAATAGAAACACTGGGGTTTTTCATCAGGGAGTAAAGATCCTTGCCCTAAAGTAAAAAAGCTCAGGAGAGCAGAAAGCAGATATGTGCACACTAGGTCTATGCAGTGTTGTGTTTCATCTTCTATTACTATGGATGTTACATGAAGCCATAATCCTTCAAAATGGTACTTAATGCACTTCAGTAGCTCTCAGTCCTGGAAAGTGATGGACATCAGCCTATGTTATATTACCCCTATTGAAGTCCTCCAAAATCTGTATGTTAATTGATGAGCTCTTCCACAGAACCGTCAAGTTTCAAGAAGATAGAAGAGCATTTGTATTAGTTTAGTTCATAAAGTTACATCTCGGCCAACCTGACCATACTGGTCAAATTAGCTTGGTTATGAACTGCTTGACCAAGCTAGTTCGACCAATATGGCCAGTGAACCAGTTAAATTACAAATATTGACCAGCATTGGCTATGTTTAGCGTGTGTTTTCTTTACAGTGGTGGTGATAGGAACCAGGAGTCATAATATCCATAACACAAATATAGACATTTTATTTACTATCCAAAACCACCAGTGAACCTACACGAGTCTTCTGAGTTTTATATTGAATGTTGATGATGGAAAATAGTGATAAATATGAAAAAAAAAATTTCTTTGGGGAACATTTTGCCTCACAACACCCTGCATTCACCTTTCCACAATAAATGGATTCAAAAATGTATGTTTTAGGACAAAATCTTCTCAAAACTTTCATAAAACAGTGTCTCAGTCATCAGGCAGTGAATTCATAACCATTTCATGTAACTTTCTGTGAGGGAGCTTTTAGAGGTGGACGTCTGGTTCCTATCACCACCACTGTGAACAGTTCTGACTCTGTAAGTTATTGGAGCATTTCACACCAAACTACTCTGAATGACTCACATATTAACTGTTTAGAGATGCAGAAACTTTGAAAAGTCACCTTTAACATAGTTGCTGGACCTGCTAGGGTTCACTTCTAAGAAACCAGCAGAAACTTGCAGCTTTTATTTCAGCAGAATAACAAAACTTGTACTGGATGGAGTTTACTTCAGACAACTCTACACACATTTGGCTATAATGCCATCTTGTGGTGAAAGCCCATCAGTGTTGGCGTTCTGGTTTAGAGCCCCACACTGTGTCTGTTTGTAGGGTTGCCACTTCAGCCCTGTAAAGTTCCTGGACACTCGATCAGCAGCTTGATTTTTTTACTGAATTCAGTGGACGGGTAGCTGCGCTACTCAGATTTCAGTTCAGCTACAGAACCTAATCTACTCAGTTATTACACTGAAGTGCTGCTTAGTGTCTCATATCACCAACAACTGAGGGCAATGTGTACTATTTAAACCCATTATTTATGTACAAATGATTGGACTGGATAAAACTAGCAGTTTTAAACTTCATAAGAAATACTAACATATGAAAATGCTTGGATTCCTGGACATTCTGTGTCCAGGAATGTAATGATTTTGTTCCTGGACAGGCAACCAAAAACCTGGGCAATCCAGGGAAATCCTGGACAGTTGGCAACCCTATCTGTTTGACAGGCTTTGTAAGGATTGGGCAGTGTTGAGGAGTTAGAGCAGGGGTCATCAGTTCTGCTTATGTTTGGCCACTGTCCAGCACAGTTTCGCTCCTCTAACATACCAAATAATCCAGGATATTAACTGATTACCAGAGGTGAATAAGGTGTGTTTGACCAGAGAAATCACCAAACTGTGCTAGACTCTGGCCTTCCAGGACCAGAACTGATGACCCCTGATTAAGAGCGTTTTTTGTGACTTAATGTTTAGGGTTTTTCATTAAGGGACTTAGTGTTTCAAAATTCATTATTTGATGTAATTATCAAAACTCAGACTCTTGTAAGTGGCTTGTAGCCCCATGTATGTACCTTTTTTGGAGAAAAAAAGTAAATGTTATCACTCTATTGGGTCCAAATGGTCCAAAGGCCAATTTGTGTGAATCGAGCCAAGAAATTCAATTAAAAATATTTGTAATGTCCACCTGACTGTTCGAGAGATCCCCAATAGACCAGTATTAGGACTTCCTTACTTCCTTGAGCAATATTTAGGAATCCCACTGACTAAAAGCCTGTGTGCCTACATGTGCAATGGCAATTACTGGGCATAACTGTATAGACAATGTCATTTATGTATTATTTTGTCCTCTACTGCCCCTCACAGTACGGCAGAATGCCCACCGTCTCTACAGTGCTCGTAGACCACCTTGACGATCTGCTGGATGCTGAATTTAACAGGTTTAAATGGCATTTGACGGACGGCGTGGCAGACGGCTTCAGCCCCATTTCTAAGGGTAAACTGGAGAAGGCAAAGCAGCAGGAGGTCGTGAACCTGATGATAAGTGCGTACGGTCCATCGGACGCGGGGAAGATCACCGGGCGGATTCTCAGAAAAATGCAACAGAACAATCTTGCTGATCAGCTGAAGAAGAACCTTGCAGAAGGTAATGCAGTGTTCTTGTGGATAGATGGAGATCAAGAACCTAAAGACCACAGCACTGCAGTGTTTTCCATTAATTGAAGATGAATTCCACCAATTTTTCCAAATTTCTGCATAATTTTGTCTTTGTTAATGTAAACAAAGTCATTCAGAGTAGTTTGATGTGAAAAGGTTAGTTCTGGAGAAACTTATCGACTCAGGTATCTTTATGAACGTGCTGCACATTTTAGTGGTTCTCAGGTTCTGACATACCTGGCTCAACTTATCAACTAACTGCAGAACCCTAAACAAAGTGGGTTAGAATGCTGTAAAACAACGTTTCCAGATCCTGCTCTCATGTTTTTGTTGCCACACAGTATATATGAATACATTTATATAAGTGTTGATTGAAAAAAACTTTCAATAGCAGCAAATCTGAAACAGTATGTTTTTCTGGGTACTTGTTTGTCTTAGAATATCCTGTACGTACCCGTCCACCATGCATGGATTAAAAAAAAACATACATTTCAGGGCAAAACAGTATTTAAAACTGTTGTAAAACAGTGTCTCAGACATCAGACATCAGTGAATTCATAACTATTTCATGTAGTAACTTTCTGTGAGGGAGCTTTTAGAGGTGGACATCTGGTTCCTATCACCACCACTGTGAACAATTCCGACTCTAAGTTTCACTAGAAGAGAGCGTTTCACACCGAACCACTCTGAACGACTCTGTTTGCATCTCAACTATTTAACTATTTTAAAAAAAATGTGAAAAATATGATGGAATTCCTCTTTAAACCTATTTAGGTCAAAGTAGATAAACTATACAACTCTGCAGTGATGCTTCAGTTAGGTTGACACCTTCTGTTCTTACTACTGGGTGATAATTAGTGAATTCAGCATTATGACATTTTCCAAATATGCCAAAGTTAACATGCTATAAGATAACAGTTGTATGCAAAAATCTGGGCACCCTTTGTCAAATGATGTTGATTTCATAAGTGTACATAAGTGAACACATCCTCTACAGAGAACACACCTCTGCACATTTTAATACAGACTGTTTATTTGCTGAATTTAACATGCAAAATATGTTAAAATACATTTGACAAAAAAGCCATATTTGAATGTGTTCTCTGTATTAACTTATGTTCATCATGTGATCGGAGGCGCCCAACCTTTTGCATATGGCTATATTTAAGGTTGCATTAATAGATTGATGCCTGAACCTGAGCTTCCTGACCGTTGCTACTGTTACTAAAAGAACACCAGCACTCTCACAAACCCCACACAGCTTCCGCTTTTACTGAAATTACACCAAAGGGAGTTTTACTTTAACCAGACTGAAAGGAATTTTACTATTTATTCATTTTTATAGATTTTGAACTGTTCTTTCAGTACAATTTGAATGATGTACATTACAGTTCTCTGGAGATGATGTGTAAAGTGCCCAAAAACTCAATGTAAATTGGCAAAACTTATATTTATGGCCATTATTTTATTAACATAATGCAGCTTATCTATCAAATATATCACTAAACATGCAAGAAAAACTGAAAAGCACAATATCACAGTCTACACGATATGTTGCCCAGTGCTATCTGCTCTATAGGTTGATAATCTGAAGTGGTGCACACATTAATAAGGTCGGTTCCAGGTCAGGGGAGGCAATGCTCTGTGTATTTTAATGCTTTTCTTGTTCTAAATGAACAGAGTAAATACTCATCATTTAATTATCTGTTGATTTATGAGCTGAATCACATGACTGGACAAACAAAACTATGTTGTACAATGTAGTCCATGAACAATGTAACAATATAATCTCTGTCTACTGGGGTCAATTTCTTTCATTAGTGAACTCTCTCCCCTAAGAAACACGCCTCTATAAGCTTTACTGTAAGTCCTCCATCAACTTTTACAGTATCTCTCTCTCTCTTTTTTCAGTAAAAGACCAGGAAGACCAGGCAGACCAGGCAGATGGCGCTGTCTCCAGTCCAGCTAAGGCCTCTAGGGCTCCTCGGGTGCACCAGAACATCAAGGCTGATAGTAGCGGCAGAGTTTCGGCCAATGTTATTTCCGATGGCCAATTCCATGGCCCTACGAATCTTACCTTTAATTAATGAAAATAGTAACTGCAGGATGTTCTTGGGCCTCCTGGGGCTCCAGGGGTGAAGCAGACCATCATGGCTGAGAGTAGCAGCAAGGTTCCGGTGGCCACTACCATGGCCCTTTGACTTTTAACTTTAATTAATGAAAATACTGAATGCATTTTTACCAGGACAGCACTGTCAGTATGAACAGACCAAAAATGATGAACAAGTATCCATTTTATACATTATAACATATAGTCTTTGTTATTTTAGATGGTCTCACATGGATTTAGTCTACTTTTTATTCACTTGCATGCTGTGAATGCCACTATACATACATATATATATAGTTTTGTAATTGTGTAGCAGAGCAACTGAATCGCGATCTAGAACCAAGAGCCTGCTTCATAAGAGCCTCCTGCTTCTGTGTGTCATGCAGCATATTAAAGAACATGTCTGAGCCAATAAGAGATCAAGTGCAGTCAACAGTTCACGACATTTTGTTACAGAAAGAGACGCATTTATTTTTGCTGGAAAATGTTATTTCACAAAGTCACAATAAAACTCAGTTTGCATGTTTAGTGGGTTTAGTTCCACTGATTTGGTCCCTACTTGCCCTTATGTTGCATCTATGAAGGTCGTTTGATCAACTTAAATGAACAATATGGCCCCATTACAATTATTAGACTCGCTACTTAAACGTGTGTCATGTTTCACAGCACCGGCGGAGGAGGGAGGACGGGACAGTGATGAGCTGGTAATACAAATGGAACGCACTCGCCCTCAGCTGGTCAGCCTTAATGAGCTAATCAGTTAGCCACTGAGGGAAAATGTGCGTGAATGTGCTGTAGATGGTTCTATACAGCACCGAAAAGGGTTATTCTGTAGTTACAAGCATGATACAATAACAGTAGAAGAACCCTTTTCGGTGCTAAATAGAACGGTTTTCAAAAAGGTTCTATATGGAACCATCTATAGCATGTTCTCCATCAGTCTGAAGAACCTTTCCATGAAGCAAAGAACCCTTTAATCATGCAAAAGTTTGAGTGTTCATGGTTCTCTATAGAACCATTTTCTTGACTAAAGAATCCTTGAAAAAAAATCTTTTGCAAGTCAATTTCATTTTACAATTAAAGTCGACTTAATTTAGCAAGTCAACTTAATTTTGTGAGTCAACTTAATTTTGTAAATCAACTTTCCAAGTGATCATAATTTAAGCATTTCTCGAGTCATTGTTTTGTGTGCAGAGAGCACTGGTAGGGTTTCTCTCCTGTATGTATCCTCTGATGCGCTGTGAGGTACGTCGAGCGGCTGAACGTTTTACCGCACTGGCTGCACCTGTAAGGCTTCACTTCCAGATGCGTCCTCTGATGGTTTTTAAGGTTTGAGGGGTGAGAGAACTTCTTCCCACACTGCGAGCACTCGTAAGGCTTCTCTCCAGTCTGCGTCCTGTTGTGGGTTTTGAGGTCGCTCAACCGCATGAACGTCTTGTCGCACTCGGGGCACTGGTAGGGTCTCTCTCCGGTGTGTATCCTCTGGTGGTTGGTGTGGCTCGCCGAGTGAGTGAACGTCTTCTCGCACTGAGAGCACTGGTAAGGCTTTTCTTTGGTGTGCGTCCTTTTGTGGTTTTTGAGGTTAACTAACCTCAGACAAGTCTTACCACACCCAGGGTTACCAGATTGCTTTTGTAGTTTCCAGCCTAAAAAAGTACAAAATGCCTGAAAAAATGCCCAAAAAGTAGAGAAACAATCTAAGAGCTTTTTTTTAACCATAACATGAAATAACACAGCATTTAAACAACATGTCAGCAAATGAGCTTCCGCGTACATTAACTGCTGCTGCTGCTGTCAAAAATTAGCAGACAGGTATTGAAATTGTCTCTAGACGGTGCTGTTAGTACTTTACACACATTTTTATCACTGATACAAAAAACCAACCTTTTCACATAAGTTTTAGAGTCTCTGTCATAAATAAACTATAAATCATTTCTACAAAGTAATTACGTGATTTAACGTGTATGTGTCTAATTCTTTAATTTACATACCTTAAGGAGCCCGTACAAACTCATCAGAGTTTTGGGAGTTTTAAGATTTATATGAATAGCAATTGACATTAAATTAACATTAAATGTATATCAATAATATTGCAAGAGTAACTATTCTTCATACACATTTTTTAAAACTTGTTTACTTTTATAGGCTCTGCTGAACAGATAACAAGCCGCTCCAACAACAGTCCACCAAGAGTCAGTAAAGCAAAGTAAACTGGACAGTATGTGTTTGATCCTCCATTATATGAACAATAAACTTATGTTAACTGTTGATGTTGATAGAAGACGATACAGATGGGCAGGGCAATGATGGATGATGGAATTTTATGTTGGATGTTGGAGTTAGGCTTATTCAACTTTAAGCTGCATTTTTAAGTAATGCAGTTAATTAATTAATTGCTGCTCCCATATTGGGCACAGTTAGGCAGCAAAATGACAGATTTTCCTTGTAAGACCAATAAAGTACATAACATAACATTTAAAAAAAAAAACCACCAAATAGTGAGAAACCAGCCCAAATTTTGTCCACTCACCAAAGGACTCCCTCCCTCCACCAATTTCAAGCAAAAATCACCAAATTTGGCAGGAACATACCCAATCTGGCAACACTGGCCACACTGAGAGCACTGGTAAGGCCTCTCAGAGACTACCGGTTCAGAAGACCTGTCACTCCAAACCCGCTGACCAATAGAGATTGCAGGTGAACACACTCTTCTAAGACCCGCCTCCACTGGAAATGTTCCAAAAATGTCAAAAGAGCAACTCCAGAAGGAAAAAATATATCAGCAAAATCACCAAATAGAAAAAACAAAAGCACAGATTGGCAAAACGTCCACATACACTCTCACATATAAAGGTACTAGACTTTCACTGGGTCAGTGCCCCTCTTGTCACTGGGGTGGAACCCTCAAGGGTTCATCTCAGTACCTTTAGTCAGGGAACATAACTGAACCATAATCCACTGAAATTATATGTTCTAAGCTGTACTGACTCCACACACCCCGTCTCGTCTCCAGGCTTTTATTTTACTGTTCTGTTTTAAAACATTCGGTTATGAAAAGGTACAAATACGAACTTTTCACCTGGAAAAACTTATTTAAGGTTCACAATCAGACCTTAAAACCACTGTTGTACCTTTGAGGGAACATTTACATTGTTTTATCTTGACAAATGAAAAATGTACCTGAACAGAACCTTTATTACCAACAGTGCAGCCTTTCAATCTACACTGTATAAAATATTATTGAAAAAAACAACAGCAATCATTAATATAGCAAGTGTCCAAACTTTTGAACTAAAGTGCATCTGTGGATGTTGAGATAATAGCTGTAGAAATTGGTTCTGGATTCACCTGGATTTATCACCCAGCGTCACCTAAACGTTCTGCTCTTATATAGTAACAATAAATACATCACCAAACATCGGCTTGAAATATCAGCCTAATCAAATCATTTCTCAGATTCTGATCAATTATTTTAAGCGATTATCTGTCTGATACTGATATGAATTCTACATCATCGTCCAGCCTTGGAGCTCGTGCTCTCAGAGATGAGAGGTCAGGAGATGGCTCAGTTCCAGGACCGTCCACAAGGGGGATGCAGGGCTGCGCGTGACCTGCTGGACGTGCTGACAGCACGATGTACAGAAGGAAGTTGAGTAAGTGCAAAAACGAAAGTATGACTTAAAGAAAGTTGAGGAAGTTCTGCCAAGTGAGAAAACAGGAACTCAGCCTTCTGAACTCGACCAGGCTGCTTTGTTTTCGAGGTAAGCTGAATTAAATCATGCTGTTCTGCATCTGTTTAACCTGAATGAAAAGGAACACGATGTTTTTGGTCAGTTTGACGCTGAGCTGCGTTACAAGTTCCTGGTTCCGTTAACCTGGTAGGAAAAGTGGTGTTTCTGTCGTGTTTAAAGCTGAGAACTCGGGCGTCTTCCTTACTTTTGGCTGGCTTTGGTAAATATTCCGGGTTTCTTTGGTTATAAAAGCTCTCCAGAGCAAACTGGATCGATGTCCCAGCTGAAAAAACACTCTACAGAAGCCACTACGTGTTTCTGTTGGTTCCTGGTGGTTTTGTAATGTGTTGTGGCTTTTTTAATGGGTTGATGTCACAATGTAAAGGATCTTAATGGTTTAACAGGTGAGCAATGGCTGATTCTAAATACATTTGATGGTTTCCTAATGGGATCTAAAGAGTTCTACAGGGGACCAGTGGTCTCCATTGGAAACCAATAATGGTTTCTGTTGGTCTTTTTTCAGCTGGGGTCTAAACCAAAAACAGAAACTGAAATCTGTCCATATATGTGCATATATCATAGAGGATCAGCCACATATTTCAAATTATGAGTTATTAGTGTACATATGTGTAAATTTCAATTATTGGACATGTATGCATGGATCATACATGTCCCTGCTAAAAAAACAGCACAGTTGGTTAATGCTAGTTAATGCTGGTCTGATACTGGTTTAGCTGGTCACCCAGCATGGTCATGCTGGGTGACCAGCATACCAGCGTCCAAAACACAACATATGCTGGTTTATGCTGGCTCCCAGTACATTTATAATTGTTACTGTGTTATTTGTTTACTTTTAAATATTATTTAAATATGCCAAATATATTCATTTACTTTACGTTTTAATGATTTTATTTTATAGCTTACAATGTTTTTAGATTTAGGTTATGTGGTTTTACACTAATTTTCACTTCATTATAGTATGTGGAAGATGCATAAAAACCTAACATGAAGCATTTTTTAAGTTATATATGCCATCCATGTATGAATAATGTATTCTGTCATGTGTTGTTATATGTTTATGTGTACACATATATGTTTGTATGTGGCTGAAATATGTACTATATTTGAAAATGGCCAACACATATGTGCGGAAATGTGTCATATTCAATTCAATTCAACTTGGTCATTATACCAATACAGGGTTGTACAGTATAATAAGACACTGTTAGGCTACTTTTCCATGCAGTAATAGAAATATATTTTAAAAAGACAATAGGTAAATAGGTACATAGACAGTGTATAAAGAATATGTGCATGAACAGTAACTGTAGGCCAGAAGGCAGAGGTTAGTCTTAAGCGATTTACAGCTAGTGTGTATTTAATTGGAAGTGTACAGTATGTTAAGGTAAACCAGATCTGGTATGCAAATTATAGTGAGTGTTTGTAAACAGCATGACAGATGTATATTAATGAAGTCTACAGTGCAGGTAAATGAGTAGCTTAGTGTTCAAGCATACAGCTTACAGCATAAACATTTAAGTATAGAGAGTTTACAGCTTAAATGTTCAGTATAGTGAGTTCCAGTTAAAGTGCAATGCGCACACAGTCCCGTTGGTGGGTGGAGCTCAGTGTACAGATATGCTGAGTGAACTGGGGGGATCAGGGTTAGTTCAGTAACAGTCCATATTGTGCGTTATTGTCGTGGTTGGTGTTGCTGGTGTGACCAGTTTAACAGCTCATAGGTAGAAACTGTTCTTAATTCTAGTGGTTCTGGTTCAGATGTTCTGGTACCTCTTT